TCAAGGCCAGCCTGGTCTATAGAGTGAGTTCCAGGACAGTAAGGGTTATTACACAGAGAAAACCTGTATCAAAAAACAAAAAGCAAAAAAACAAAAAAAAAAACCAAAAAACAAAAAAAGACAGATGGCTCAGCAGGTAAAGGTGTTTGCCACCAAGCCTAGTGGCCTGCGTTTGATCTGTGAGTCCCACAATGTGGAAAGAAAGAGCCGGCTCCAAGTTGTCTTCTCAATATCACATTTGTGTCGTGTAAACACACCCCTCCCCAATAGATAAATGTAACAATGAAAGGAATAATGAATCAGGCCTTCCAGAAGTCAGTGTGTAGGAAGCATGAGTGCGTAGCTGGGGGAAGAGCAGTGCTAGTCAGGGTTGGCTATAGGAGCTGTACCTATCTGGTTAGGGAGGGCATGTCTCTTGCTTCTGGCTTCTCCCATCTCCTCCCACCCTGCACACATGTGCACCACCCTAAGCTTTTCCTCTCCCAGGCAATATAACCTTTGCTAAGGCTTGAGATCAGAGGAATTTTTACTTTGTGTAGTGCTTGGCACTACATAAGGGGACCTTTACCCAGCATCAGCAGGAACCACCCTTGGGAGCCACTTAGTGCTGCCTGGCACGTCCACAGCGGTTAGAGCAAAGGGCCAGAGTTCAGGAGGCTGTTTGAGGGAATTCCTCCTGAGCCGGTGTGGGCCCCATCCTCAGTCCTCACGCCTGTGTGTGCGTGCGTGCGGGCGTGTGTGCGTGGCACACTAATTCCTGCAGGAGACGGGATGGCCCTTCCTCAAAGCACTCTCCACCTTCACACATACAGCAAGCTTCCTAAACCTGGCTGAGCTGAATCAGGGTTAGAAAGAACTCAAGTGGGGCTGGAAAAGATGGCTCAGCAGTTAAGAGCACTGGCTGCTCTTCTAGTGGACCGGGGGTTCAATTCCCAGCATCCTCATGGCAGTTCCCAACTGTCTGTAATTCCTGTTCCAGAGGATCTGACACCCTTAAACAGGCACACATGCAGGCACATAAAAGTAAATGGATAATTGGGGAAAAAAAGAAAGAATGCAAGTATTTTTTCCTGTGCTTCTAAAGATTAAATGTAAGGCCTTCCACATTGAGCAAATTTTTCTTTTCTTTTCTCTTCTCTTCTTCCTTTTTTTTTTTTTTTTGCAACATTCTAAGCCTGGAAAGATCTCAAGCATTTCATAGTTTGATATCACCTTAGGGAGACATATTGCTTCATCTGGTAGAGGAGGCTCCTGCCTGTACTCCTGGCTCTTGGGAGGCAGAGGCAAAGGAAGGTTGACAGTTCATGGCCATTCTCAGCTAAGCTGTAAGACTGTCTCAAGAACAAAATAATACAGCCTGTTGCTTCAGTGTAGGGAAATAACGCATTCCGGTTTTCCATCAAATACTGTGTGTATGTATGCTAATGGCTGTGAGCGTTTGCTCCCTGAAGTGGCCCACCCTAGGGCTTTTCACTTGCTGGCTCCTCTGCCTGCAAGTTCTGTCTCACATAGGTACTCACATCAGCGGTCTTGTACCTCAGCCAGACTTGTGCTTCCAAATCACTACATGGGTGGAGAGATGGCTCAGCAGGTAAAGTGCTTGCCCGGAAAGCGTGAGGGCCTGAGTGTGATCACCAGTTCCCTTGTCAAAACCCGGTGTGGGGACACAGTCTGGCAATCCCAGTCCTGTGTAAGTGAAGGCAGCTTGCTGACCAGTCAGTCAATGGAATCAGTGAGCTCCAAGTTCAGTGAGAGAAGCTGTTTCAAAAAAAAAAAAAAAAGCAAAACAACAACTAAAAACCAGGGTAAAACTGGGGCTGGTGGCCCATGCCTTTAGTTCCAGCACTAGGGAAGCAGAGGCAGGGGGATCTCTGTGAGTTCCAGGACAGCCTGGTCTACAGTGCGAGTTCCAGAACAGCCAGGGCTCCACGGGGAAATCCCATTTCAAAAAAACAAAAATTTAAGAAAAGAAAAAAGATACATGTATGTATACACACAAACATACACATATGCACCGAGGAGCATGATGGAGGAAGATACCAGATGTCAACCTTTAGTTTGCACATGCACACACATGCATGTACACCACCCCATACCCACACACAAATTAGGGAGTTCTTTCCTATGTCCCTTCTAAAACATCCTTGTCTCTGGCCACAGCTTTTGCTGTCCTCCTGTGATGGCTACTTTTGGTTGCCAATTTGACTACAGCTGGAATTAACGAAAATCCCAAAAAGGAGGGCAGACCAGTGAGAGACTTTTATTTAATATGAAGTAGGAAGATCCACTTCTAAACTGGATTTTGAGGTGGGAAGACACACTCTGAATCTGGGCCACACCCAAAAGCCTAAAGAAAGACATGGAAGAAGGAAGAGTTTGCTTTTCGTCTGCTTGCTCTCGTCTTGCTAGCACATCTATCCCTACAACCTAGTTCTTCCAGATCCCAGCATATACTAAAGACCATCCAGCCTTGTAGACTGAGCAACTCCTGGATTCTTGAACTTTCCATTCACAGCCAGCCATTGTTAGATTAGCAGCCTGTAAGTCGTTCTAATAAATTCCCTTTCTGTATAATTTGTATATATAGAGAGATTCATTGTATAAGTTCTGTTATTCTAGAGAACCCTGACTAATGACCTCCCTTTAAAATTATTGTACATTTATGGTGTGTGTGTGTGTGGTGTGTGGTGTGTGTGTGTGTGTGGTGTGTGTGTGTGTGTATGTGTGGTGTGTGTGTATGTGTGGTGTGTGTGTGGTGTGTGGTGTGTGTGTGTGTGTGTGGTTTGTGTGTGGTGTGTGGTGTGTGTGTGTGTGTGTGTGTGTGTGTCAGAGGACAGCTTGTGAGAGTCAGTTCTCCCCTTCTAGCACATGGGATCTGGGGGTCTAACTCAGGTAATAGATTTGTGAAGAAACTTTACTTGATCTAACCATCTAACCAGCCCTGCTTTGTTGGTTTGTATGTTTGTTTTTGAGATATAGGTTCCAATGTGCAGCCTGGCTGGGCTGGAACTCCCCATGTAGACCAGGCTGGCCTCAAACTCACAGAGATCAGCCTGCCTCAGTCTCCCGAGGGCTAGGGTTAAAGGCTATGAAGTCTTTCTAAAATAACCCCTTTCAATGTTAGGTGCCTCCTCATCCCTAGTCTCTACCCTCCCTCCTTGAGAAGACTCTGAAGGTCTCCGTTTCAGTCTGAGTGACTCCTTCTCTGCCTCCAGGGGTCAGTTTGTGTCCCAGGCACCCCTAGCAACTGGTTTTGGTTTGGGATTTGACTCATGACCCAAGAAGGTGGCAGATATAGTCCTCTCAGGATTTGGGCTGGAGCTATAGGAAGTGAGACACCCTTTGCCCTCTATTTTGAAAGAAAGAGCCAGCCTATAGTAGGCAGCCTCGGCTTCCTCCGCTTATGGAACCCTGCCTAAGAATGAAACCGTGCTGGTTCTGAAGCAGAGATGAAGGCTGCTGGCCAAAGGGGTGGAGACTGACTTAGGGACCTGTCTGGGCTCCTGGACAAGCCCTGCCCTGAACTCGATACATATGCCTTCCTGTTTCCCAATTGTATGACTCAGTTTCTCTTCAGCATAGCTGGTACAAACTTTTTTTTTCTTTTCAGAGACAGGGTTTCTCTGTATTGTTTTGGAGGCTGTCCTGGAACCCATTCTGTAGACCAGGCTGTCCTTGAACTCACAGAGATCTGCCTGCCTCTGCCTCTGAGTGCTGGGATTAAAGGTGTGCGCCACCAATGCCCGGCCTACAAACTGGTTTCTACTGTGGACCATCAGATCAGAAATAAGCAGGAAGAGAGAGAGGCAGAAGTCAGCTGGGCTCCATAGGAGAACTTTGTAGCATGCTTTCTTGGACCACCAGCCCCCAAATCATGACATGGAGACTTATGATTAATTATGAATGCTGAACCTTGGGCTCATTTCTAGCTATCTGTTTTAACTTAAATTAATCCATTTCTACTATCATGTGCTGCCCTGAGGCTTGCTTACCTCATCTACATATCTACACACTGTCCATCAAGCTTTCCTGCCTCCTCCATGTCTGTCTGTCTGTCTCCCCTTTTCTCTCTGCCCACCAGCCCTGCCTATCCCTCCTTTGCCTAGCTATTGACCGGTCAGCTTTTTTTTAGACCAATCAGGTGCCTTGGCAGGCAAGGTGAAACAGCAACACATCTTTACATAGTTAGACAAAAGTTCTACTACACAACACAACTTGCCTTTAAAATGCAGACTCGGGCCCTGCATACTCTGTCATGCTATTTACAGATGTTGGTCTTTACTTGTTTACTTGATATCTACAGTGTTTCACAAGCTTAATTTTAACAAGGTTATGAATGATGGGGCATGTGTTCTGGGGTTTTGCTTATTTGTTTTCAGGCAGGTTCTCCTATAACCCATGGCTCAAACTCACTCTAGTTGAGGATGACCTTGAACTCCCATTATTCCTGTTTCTACCTCCCAAGTGCTGAAATTATACCCAGCTTTTATTTTTTTATTTTTTTTTGGGGGGGGGAGATGGCCTGGAATTCATTATGTAGCTCAGACTAACCCTAACCTTAAGATCCTTCTGCCTCAGCCTCCTAAGTCTTGGGATTACAAGTGTATAGAATCACACCTAACATATATTTTTATTCATTAAACTAACGTTTATAGAAGTCAAGTACTTTAAACTGGGCAATGGTGGAGCACACCTTTAATCCCAGAACTTGGGAGGCAGAGGCAGGTGGATTTCTGTGAGTTCAAGGTCAGTCTGATCTACACACCAAGTTCCAGGACAGCCAAGGCTGTTGCACAGAGAAACCCTGTCTCCAAAAAATCAAAAACAATAACAATAACAAACAAACAAATAAAAAACAACAAAAGAAATCAAGCACCACACTGCACTTCACTGCACAGCATCGCACAGCATTGCATAGCACCACACTGCACTGCACAGCACCACACTGCACAGCACCACACTGCACAGCACCACACTGCACAGCACTTCACTGCATAGAATCACACTGCATTGCACAGCACCACACTGCACTGCACATGGCACTGCACAGCACCACACTGCACAGCACAGCACCACACTGCACTGCACATGGCACTGCACAGCACCACACTGCACAGCACAGCACCACACTGCACTGCATAGCACCGCACTGCACCACACAGCATCACACTGCACAGCACAACACTGCACAGCAATTCACTGCATAGCATCACACTGCATTGCGCAGCACCACACTGCACTGCACATGGCACTGCACAGCACTGCACAGCACAGCACCACACTGCGCACTGCACAGCATCACACTGCACACTGCACAGCACCGCACTACACAGCACCGCACTGCACAGCACCGCACTGCACTGCACAGCACCACACTGCCACACAGCACCACACTGCACACTGCACTGCACAACACTGCACTGCATAGCATTACACTGCATTGCACAGCACCACACTGCACAGCACAGGGCCACACTGCCACACAGCACCACACTGCACACTGCACTGCACAACACTGCACTGCATAGCATTACACTGCATTGCACAGCACCACACTGCACAGCACAGGGCCACACTGCACAGCACAGGGCCACACTGCACTGCACAGTCCACACTGCACAGCACAGGGCCACACTGCACTGCACAGTCCACACTGCACTGCACAGCCTATGTTTCTTAATTGTCTAGGTTTGTCATGTTTATTTTCCCTCTTTGTAGAAGGATGGATCACATCAGGCAGGATCTTGTTTGTGCTGTGCTTAGGGCAGCTTCCAAAGGTGGACAGAAAACAGGTGGTACCATCAGACTGTTTCATATGTCTTTTCCCTCAGCAAAGAACTGTAATTTGCTGGTTAGAATAATGAGTTACATACTACATATGTATTACAGTGGTGTTTCCCACCTTTTTGATGAATTCTCACAGTGAGAGGTATATTTTTAATCAACTCAGTTTATATTCATCTATAATGAACAAAACCTTCTTTAGTACTTGAGGCATTTTCTGATGTTTTATGCATGTGTATAGAAAGTTAGTTAGCTAGCTAGCTAGCTAGTTAGTTACAGGGTCTTGTTATATAGCTCAGGCTGTTCTCAAAGTTGTCATTCTCTTGCCTCACTTTCCAAAGTATTGTGCTTACATGGTATTTTCTACTTTATTGGTTTTTTTTTTTTTTTGTTTTTTAGTAGTTGTGGAAAAATCTGCCCAGAGCTTGTTGAATGCTAGGCAAGCTGTCTGTCCATGAGCTATACCTATAATACTGATACAATCGTTATCTCAATAAAATAACACATTAATACATTCCTGGACCCCTGAGATGACTCAGCAGGTAGGTGCCTGCTACACAAGCATGATGGTGCTGTGGAATATTATTTTAAGGTGTGTTACACTTGTTTATGCTGTGGAACATTTGTCTTAATGATGCAAACATGTGCTGCATTCTTTTATGCCGCATTCATTTAACTCTGTGAAGCTGTGATTCTTTGCCTGTCTAAAACACCTGATGGTCTAATAAAGAGCTGAACAGCCAATAGCAAGGCAGGATAAAGGATAGGTGGGGCTGACAGGCAGAAAGAATAAATTGAAGGGGAAATCTGGAAGAAAGGAGAAGAAGGAACAAGATAGAAAATGGAAAGGAGGACATTGGGGGTACAGCTTGGGGTGAGCCAGATGTCTGTAGAAAACAGGAAGTACGGACTCAACTTGAATGAAGAGTTGCTTGATGGGCATGTGGAGAGAAGACTGCTGCTGTGTACTGGGTAATCTGGAGATAGTGTGGCCGTGCATGCCTGTAATCCCAGCATTTAGGAGTCTGAGGCAGGAGGATTGCAAATTTGAAGACAGCTTGAGCTAAATAGTGAGACCCTGTCCAGAACAAAGTGACCCCCACTGCACACATGCTTTCAGGAAATAGGCCTTCACTGTGAGCTCTGTCACCTCCTTCTTAGTCTGTAAACTATTGGGGAGCCACTAAACCTTTCTAAATGGGTAATGGAGATGGGCTGATCAAAGAGACATTGCAGTCATTAAGAGCAGTGTCGGGGTTAGTTTTTGTCAGCTTGACACAAGTTAGAGTTATCTGGGAAGAGAAATCTCAATTGACAAAATGCCTCCATCAGATTGCCTGTAGGCAAGTCTGTAAGGCAATTTCTTGATTAATGATTGATGGGGAAGGGCCACGGAACAAGCCACAAGGAGCAGGTCAATAAATAGCACTTCTCCATGGCCTCTGCATCAGTTCCTGCCTCAAGTTCCTGCTCTGACTTCTCTCAGTAACCTGAGAGTTATAAGCTGAAATAAACCTTTCCTCCCCAAGTTGGTTTTGGTCATGGTGTTTATCACAGAAACAGAAACCCTAAGGCTTAGGAAGAAGGGAGCAGTGGGAATGGAAGAGAAAACTGGTTTTCTGACGACAGAATATCAGTGGTTGGCATTATTCAGTATGAAAGAGGATGAGAAGCCTGTGAGAACTTACAGGCTTGACACCTAGAGACAGGAGACCTAGAGAAACGCCAAGAACTGGCTGACTTATGTGCAGAGGATCGTCTGGGACTTTGTCAGTGTTGACTGCTGCTGGAAGTCTGCGAAGAAAATGATTGCATCTCCAAGAAAAAAGCTGCAGCGTGGCATTCTGGAGTCATCACCACTGATATGAAAGAGAGCTGTGGTTAGGAAGGGAGCCTTAGCATCTTCCCCAGGGATGGAGAAGGGTGCAGAACAAAGGCCTGGTGTGGAGAGAGGGCCACTGATATTTGCAGAATTGATCCACGGCCAGTGCTGTGGTGCAGGCAGGATACAGTACCGTGTTCTAGGACTATGAAGAGGACAGCTTTCTGCAGGTGCTGGGGTCCTGGGTAGCTTTGCAATAAGAGAGTTGAGTAAGGCGTTAGCCCAGTGAACCCTGGCCAGAAACTACACTGGAGCATCAGGAAAACTAAAAACATCTCCATGAGGTATCCACTCACTACAGATAGAGAAAAGAAACAAACTAGCCATGGTGGCTTAAGCAGGCCACCCTAGCACTTGGGAGGTGAAGGCTGGAGGATCAGGGGTTCAAGGCCAGCCTCAGCTATGTCAGGAGTTCAAGACTAGCCTTGGCTACACGAGAACCTATCTCAAAGAAAGCAAAGATACACAAACAGATTGACTTGCCCGGGTTTTTTTCTCAGCTGGAGGTGAAATTCACCTCAGTTTTATCTTAGGATGTTGTTCTTTCTATAGCTTAATCCTTTGCCTGGCATATCTGTAGTGCTGGTGTAGAAAGTGGATATTATAAGAGGACTATGGGTCAAGCCTAAGGAATGCCCCCATGTGAGGAGCAGAAGAGACACAGCAAAGAAGTACAGAAAGTAAGGGCACAGCCAGAGGCACAGGATGGTGGCAGCTGGGGAGAGGGGACAGCCAGAGGCACAGGATGGTGGCAGCCAGGGGGACAGCCAGGAAAGGAGCAGTTTGCCATCTTGGATGTACACATGGCAAAAGTCAGGGTTCTGCTGTAGATGGTCTCAGTGATTGCAATTCAGAAAGTGACTTCCAGAGTGTCACAAAGGGTGGAGAAACACATGAAGAGTGAGGGGGTAGAGTAAATACAGGTCACATTTCCAGCTAACTTTGACCTTGAGTTATTGGAAGAAGTAACATGGAAGCCAACCCCAAGACTGTACCCGCAGGAAGTTTATTAGGAAGAAAACCTGGGATTGATAACAAGGGAATGGAAAGAAGCAAGCCTGGGCAGGAGCAGGTGAACTTTGCAGGACCATTCCCACTGGATGCAGGCTGTAAGGAATGGGGTGGAACCAGACACCCAAAGGCCATCTGCCAGCAGCACTTCAACTACCAACAGCTGGGTAATAAGTCCTTCATAGCCGTGTGTAGTGGCACACGACTTTAATCCTAGTACTCAGAAGGCAGAGATCCATGGGTGAGGCCCGCCTGATCTATAAAGCGAGTTTCTGCAAAGACTCTGTCTGAAAAGACAAAGTCCTTAATAGCAGGGGTTGTGGCTTATGCCTGTAATCCAGCACACTGAAGGCTGAGGCAGGAGGATCACAAGGCCAGTATGGACCACATGACCAGTTCAGGGCCAGTCTGGTCTACAGAACTTGTTTCAACTCTTCCCTAAAAATTTCTTCATTTTCAAAGGGAGTCTGAGCTCTGCATGTTGACATTTTTCCTAGGAATAGCTTCTAAGACTAGTAGTATCTAGGGAAGAATATTTTGGCATGGATAAAAACTAACTTTAGAAACAAGTACATAAATAGGAATATACCATCATTCCTTATTGCCTAACAGTTACAACATTTTATGTCTTATAAAATATCTATCTATCTATCTATCTATCTATAAATAATACATTCACAGGACACCTCCTGTATACCTGCTCTTTGCTAGCTCTAGCTATACAAAGATAAGACTCCCCTCCCCTGCCCTCACTATGTAGCTCTGGCTAGCCAGGAACTCCCAGACAGCTGCCTGCCTCTGCCTCTCAAGGGCTGAGACCAAAGGTGTGCACCACCTCATGTAGCTCAGTCTTCTCTATTGGTAGAAAAAGCACAAAAACGATAATCAAATGATGGCCTGCGCTTCTCTTATCACTGATTGTATGTATAACATCCAGTCTGTGCTGGGAGCATAGTATGTTCCTAGTAAATGTATATAAAACGAATTAATTGTTAAACAGAGTGAGAAGTGCTTGGAAGTCCTGCATGGCTTGGTCCTGGAAACCTGACAGGGGCCACAAGGGAATGAAGGACAGACACACAGATAGAAATGGGTGGAGTGGGCCTTGGAAGCTCTGCGGAGTCCACCAGCTGGGCAGCAGCCCAGAGCCTCCCTCAACATGGTGGTTACCTAAGCAGAGGAGGAAAGCTAGGTTAGCTTGCTAGATGGGAGGTCTCCACAGGGGAGCAGTCTCCAGCTGTAAGCATCCAGGGGGGAGCTCAGTTCGTGCTGTCGGTACCTCGAGGGATCAGAGGGAGCTCTGCCAATTCCCATGGGTTTGCCCAATTGGGGTCCTTGTCGATAGTACACATTCATTCTCCCTGTACATTCACCCAGGGCTCCTCTGCTCGCCACACTTGGGCAGTAAACGAAATTTAAGAGTAATTAATGTTGCCTAGAGGAGTCAGAGGACAATTACAAGAGTTGCTTTTGATTTATTTTTGAGACTGGTGTTTCTCTATGTAGCCCTGGCTGCCCTGGAACTAGCTCTGTAGACCATGTTGGTCTTGAAACTCACAGAGATCCACCTGCCTCTGCCTCCAGAGTACTGGGATTAAAGGTGCGCACCACCATGGCCCATCTTAGAGTTGTTTTTTGTTTTTTGAGACAGGGTTTTTCTGTATTGTTTAGGAGGCTGTCCTAGAACTCCCTCTGTAGACCAGGCTGTCCTCGAACTTACAGAGATCGGCCTGCCTCTGCCTCCCTACT